TTTTGTGTATTTCACTGTACATAAATTATATTTCAATAACATGCATTTAAGAAAATAATAATACAACAAATTTTTATGAAACAAATAACCTAATGACACTTAACATAATGACAATTACATTTATGTTGTTGTTCACATCTCTAGCTTGTTTATTATAAAGAGTCTAAGCATCATTTTCAGTCCGATGCTAGAGGAGGCTTCTTTACAGTACTCTGAGATGTGGTCTGGTTCACACTAACATGATGTGGAGAAACCAGGAGGATGTGTTAGGGATCTGTGGAAAAGAATGGGCCCTAGGATGTAATCTAGTCTCTTCCCCAGCTTTCTGCCAGGATACCCTTGCCTTTTTCATATGGACCAGACTGTTCCCTTTACCAGACATCTTAATGTTGTTGTGTCCCTGGAGGCCAGCAATGTGTCTGAAAGAAGAACGCCTTCCTGTGTTTCCATTGCTTAATCATTCCATTCCAATGTGTTAAGAAAATTCCATAGTCAGAAAAATGTTACACACACACACACACATAACTGATTGTTATAATAACCATCTAACTAGCTTCTCTGCTTCCACACTTGCTCCTCTACAGGCTATTCTCAACACAAAAGCCAGAAGGATCCTGTCAAAACCTAAGGCAGATCCAATCTCTCCTTGGTTCAAAACCTTCCAAAGGATTCCCAATTCAGAGTAAAAGCTGAAGTCCTTATGATGCCCAGAGGCCCATACTGTCTGGTTCCTGTTGCTTCCCACAACTCCCCCTCACTCCATCCACACCCCCTGGCCTCTCTAGTTCACAAACACTCAGGCTCAATGCTGCCCCAGGGCCTTTGCACTTGCTGTTCCATCTGCCTGAAGTGCACTTCGTCCAGGTATCCTCATGGCTCCCATCTTCTTTTCCTTTAGGTTTTTGCTGAAACATTACTTTCTAAGGTAGACCTTACCTCATCACCATTTGAAAAATTGTAATCTCTGTTCTTCATTGAAGGCTCTTCTGTATCTCCTCTTTGTTTTAAAAAAACAAAAAAAAACTATGACTCTTTTTTTTTTTTTAACCCCTTGTGGTGGTTAAGCTTGTGTGTCAACTTGGCTAGGCCTGGTTGAGTGGCTGGGCAGCTGGATGTAGTATACCCCATGATGTGACTGGTAATCAACTCCATGATGGAATCTAGTGTGAGCAGCTGAGTAGCTGCCTTAGGGATGTGGTCTGCTTCCCATATATAAGCAGCAGCTTTGGGAATGGTCTCTAACTAATAACACGCTTGAACCCTGCATGTAGCCATGTCATTGTTCCGCAGCCTGTCATGCTCTGCTGACCTGGGAACTTTCAATGGACTCGAGTTAATGGCCTGCCATGTGGTTTGGTAACAGTGGGACTGTGCTTTTTTACTTGTCAACCTTGGACTTGTCAGTCTCAGCAGCCAGCATCTGTCTGAGTGAAGAAAAGCCTCTGGCTCCAGTGGGCCGGGAGCAGGAGGCAGAGCTGAAACCCAAGATTGAGGGGCTTTCACCCAGCCCCTAGAGCCTGGCACTTTGAACTTGGACTTAAAGTTTCCAAACTGTGAGAGAATTAATTCCTGTTTGTTAAGGCCATCCCATTTGTGGTATATTCCTGTCAGAGTGGCACTAGGTAACCAGAACACCACTTGTTATGTTCTGTGTGTGCTTTCTATGTGTTTTACATTTTTTGTGTTGTCTGCCTCTCCAATTCTCATTCTTCCCTGGGGGTGGGGGAGAAGCACACACAAAGAACTAATTACCATTGAGCTGACTCTAAGTTATAGCAGCCCCATGTGTTGCAGAGTTGCACTGTACTCCTTAGTGTTACGATGTTGTGACCTTCAGGGAGTAGGTCACTGGACCTTTCTTCTGAGGTGCCTCTGGGTGGATTCAAACCTCCAAACTTTCAGTTAGTAGTACGGAACCTTTTGTGCCACCCCTAAAAGGGCATATATTTTGCAGTGCTGAATCCTCAGCACCCATACACCTGGCTCATGGTAAGGCTCAATAAACATTTAGTAATGAATATCTGAATGAATGAATAATGAATTTTTGTTCTCTGCCCTTATTTTTCCTGATCTGCCCTATAGAGGAGAATCTTTTCTCTTCTGACTACACAAAACCTACTATCTGTGTTCCACAATCTCCTAGCTGAACACCATCTGCCTTGTGTTATTCTCTGATGATCCATATCCATTCATTTATCTTCCAGCTAGAACACAAACTTCCCTGGGCAAGGATCATGCTATCTTCTACAGCTCTGCCCTCCCTTCTCTGCCACGTGCAGTCTCCCACAGCACTGTACTCAAAAGAAACCAAAAATCAAATTTACTGCCCATGAGTCAGATCCTATTCATAACAATCCCTCTTGGGTTTCCGAGGTGGTATCACTACAGAAGTGGATTGCCCAACCTTCCTTCTAGGGAGTGGTTGGTGGGTTTGAATTGCTAACTTTCTAGTTAGCTGTCAAGTGCCTTAGGCACCGCACCACCAGAGCTCCCTTACTTGAAAGAAGCATCTCAAAAAGACATTGCATGCTAGTAGGGGGAAGACATCTAAAGATCGTAATGCGATCCCCAAGTTACACTGATTTCCCAGGCAGTCTGGGTGGTGTAGCATTTCCCAAGCGTGGTTCATGGTCCACTGGTGGTCTCAAGATGATTCTGGATGCACACATTTCATTGTTCTGGTTATGAATTTATTTTGATGTGCTGTACAAATATAACAAGCACATCAAATCCTATGTGAACAAGCAGTTGTTCTTCTTGAAAACATTCTCCTTTTAAAATATATTTATATAAATTTATCACCACCTGCCTGTCAGTTTGTCATACTGTTGTGGCTTGCATATTGTTATGATGCTGGAAGCTATGCCTTGATAATTTCAAGTACCAGCATCATCATCTGTGGTAGACAAGTTTCGATGGAACTTCCAGACCATGACAGACTAGGAAGAAAGGCCTGGTGATCTACTTTTGAAAACTAGCCAGTGAAAACCTTATGCAGCACAACAGAACATTGTTCAACTCACTTGCTTTCAACATGTCATCAGGAGTGATCAGTTGCTGAAGGAGGACTTCATGGTTGGTGAGTAGAGGGCCAGTGAGGGAGAGGCAGACTTCAGTGAGCTGGATTGGTACAATAGCTGCAACAATGGACTTGCTGGCAATCATGAGGATGATGCTTGATTGGCAATGTTTCCTTCTGTTCATAAAGTTGCCATGAGTTGGAGCTGACTTGATGACATCTGTTTATCTACCTAAATTTTAAAACTTGCAAGTTGGTTTAAAGAAAATAATACACATGGAGCAGTGTAAATGATGTGTGGAGAGAGGTAATTGTGAAGGTGGTCCTGAAATGACTGAGTTTGGGAAAACTGGTACTGGGCAAAGGGATGGGCTTGTTTGGAATCCTTGTTCTGCTTGGCCTTGGCTGTGTAGTCTTCAGCAAAATCTTAACCTTTCTGAAGCTCAGGGTCCTGTTTTAAAGAATACAGCCATTAATAACCACCTTGCCAGGAAGTGGATTAAAGACGTGATGATATGTGTGAAATGTTTGGTGTTCAGTAAAATGATGGTCTCATGATGGGAAAGTAGACACCAAGGGGATGGATAACTTGTCCTTTAGCTTCAGCACTGAGTAAGTAGAATCTTGGTCTTCCTTGTCCCTGTAGTCCTGGAAAGCCAAGGCTAGGGACGAGCCATGGGTGAGACCTTTAGGGGCCTCTTCTCTGTGGGTTTATCTCTCCAGGAACAAGGAGTCAGATGTTCTTCCCATTTTGTGTCTTGGAAGTGGAGACTTGGATTGAAGCAGTGACTTGTTCTCAGTCACTTGAACAGGAAGGGGCAGAGCCAGGTCCTGAGTACACATCCTGGGCTCTGGGCTGCACTGTGGCTGCTCAGCTGCTGGCTTTTGCTTTCAGATGTGTTTAAAGGACGCTCCTCCCCTTGCCTCCTGCCTTCCCGCCAGCAGGCTCCCAGGGAAGGGGAGGAGTTCTCCCAGGCGCTGATGCCACCGTCACCACGGCAACGCGGCCATACTGGCCCCAACGGACTGAAGGCCTGGGGCTGCAGGACTAGGCTGTGCTAGCCTCGTGGGCAGAGCATGGACAGCCTCTTCGTAGAGGAGGTGGCCGCCTCCCTGGTGAGGGAGTTCCTCAGCAGAAAGGTAATGTCTCGCCCCCTCCAAAGCTCAGGGCCACTTTTTTAATTTTGAGGGGCAATCTGGGCTTCCCCTGGAACCTTTGTACTTTTGGGGAGGAAGACATACCCCTGCCTGCTTCATGGACCAGAGATGCCTCAACAAAAATGCCGCTTTCTTGGGAGAAGGGAAACTACATTTCCCAGGAGCCATTTCTGTCTTTGGTCACTTCCTACCAAGAGGGCAGGGGCTGCCCTGTCGGCCACCCTCCTAGATGCATCTTCTTCCCTTCTGGGCAGGTGGGCATAGTCCCAGGTGGAGGTGCAGGGACCCCCTTACCCCTTTCTATAATGCATACTTGAGTTCTCCCACCCCAAGCACAGCATGCAGGCCTCAGCCAAGCCTGGTGGCCCTAACTGGCTAACGCCAAGAAATACAGCCCACAGTGAAAACTCCCCCCAGAGGGAATCTGAAAGGCTGAAGAAAGCTCTTTAAGATCAAACTCTTTAGTCATTTTAACCAACACTAGGAATCCCAGTCATTGCATTAATTTTATTTTTTAAGTTCTCCCTTTGTCTGTCCCAAAAGAGTTTTGAAATACTCAGAAGTTGAAGAGTTGCTTAGCTGCCATCTTCCCTTAAAGTGGAAGTGGGGATGTAGTGGGGAAGTAGTTGGCTGGAAGCCCTGTCCCATGCCAGTGTGGAGAGAGCATCATTTGTTCATTCAACACCGTGTGATGGAGGGCTTGCTATGGGCCAGGCACAGTTCTGTTTCTCAGGGCTGGGCAATAGGCGCTTGTCTGGGATTAAAACACACACAAAAAATAAACAAGTCTTTGGGTGGAGAAAATAGGAAAGATTTTGGAGTTGAACACAAATATCTGCTTCTAGTTAGCAGCATGAGCTTAGCTCACTGAACTGAGCCTTGATATCCTTATCTGCAAACAGGAATAATAAGGCCTACCCTTTGCAGATTTGTAGTGAAGACTGATAATAATGTATGAGCAGCTCTCAAATACAGTGTCTAGTGCATAGAAGGTGTTCAGCATTTTCTCTCTCCCCCCACCCCATCTCTGATGTTTTTGAAATATCTCTGCTTGTTTGCTTATTTATTTATATATTTTTTAAAAATAATAATGCATGTGGGGGAGCTCTGGTAGCATAGTGGCTAAGACACTTGCCTGCTAACCAGAGGGCTGGCGGTTCAAACCCACCAGCCACTCCTCGGAAGGAAGGTTGGGCAATCGTACTTCCTTAGTGATACTGCCTCGGAAACCCAAGGAGGGGTCGCTATGAGTCGGGGCCGACTCGACGGCACATAACAACAACAACAACAATGCATGTGGTATTATATCTGTCCTATTTCTATGGCTAACTGCCCTTCCATTACCCAGTCCTGGCTGTGTTTTGGATATCAGTGATGTACCCTCTGAAGCTGACCACTACTAGCATGACTTTTAAGTCTGGGCCACCAAACACAAGTTCTCAGAGAATCCTCCCTCATGTCGCTCCTTTCTTGATGACAAATGAAATCCAAAGTCCTCACCTGACATTCAAAGCTCCCTTAAAGCTTGAATGAAGTTTCTTTTCCATGTTTTCCCTGTGCTACCCACAGCCCACCTTAAGTCAAATAAGTCTTTGAGAGGCCTTGTCAGATAATTTTAGGTGGAATTACTGACTCATCTCATCTGTGGTTCTCTCATTGATGCTTATGATATAGTTATTAATATATGTCCTGTTACCACCTACTAGATGGACCTGCAGAGCTGCCACTAGCACTGGACAGGACATTGGGAGTTATCTAGTTCTTCCGCCCCCTCTCCTGCTTATCGTTTATCTGAGCACACTCAGGGCCTGAGAGCAAGAAGGAGTTGCCCTCAGTTACTCTGAAAAGAGTGGGAGGTGAGACTGCTGTCAGGTCCATGGCTTTTCTCATTAGTCTTTCCTTCAGAGGAGAGACCCTGAATTACCCACAGGGCTTTGCATAGGCAGCTACCAGGCGGCTATATCTAAGAGAATGGCCATGATTTGAGTTTCTACCCTGACACTAGATGCTCTGTCCATTGTCTCAAATCCTCATAACAATTCTGAAAGGTAGTATAATTTCTCCCATTTCCTATAAGACCATCATGAGAGTATGGAGGTGATTAGGGTGAGTAGCCCTGGATAAGTTGGGTGAATCTTGTCTCACCCTCTCAAAATCCTTCACTGGCACCCTTCATCAAAAAACAAGACAAACCAACAAAAAACCAAACTCACAGCCATGGAGTCAATTCCGACTCATTGTGATCTCATTGGATTTCTGAGGCTGTAAATCTTTATGGAAGCAGACTGCCTCATCTTTCTTCCGTGGAGCAGCTGGTGGGTTCAAACCACCAACCTTTGGGTTAGCAGCCAATTGTCTTACCCACTACATCACCAGACCTTGTTGCTTTTCATTATAATTAGGATAAAATCCAAAGGAAACCTCACCAAGGCCTAAAGACCCCATATGACCCAGCTCCCAGCTACCCCTCAGACCTGATCTTCCACTACCACCTTTTGTACTCAGTACCCTCCACACTTTGGCCTCCTTGAACACACCAAGTGTGTCCTCCCCTCAGGGAATCATGGTCACCTCCTGGGCAGGTCAGTGTCCACTGAGAGGACTCATGCAGTACCCCTGCCTCCCAAGTCTGTGGCCCATCTCCTGCAGTGCCCTGTCCTCATCCTACCTCTGCCCCCCCTTTCCTGAAGTCAAGCCCTGTGTTACCAGTATCACACCCTTTCCATGATCTCAATTCCAGGCATTCCTCCTGTCCACATTTCCTGTTCATCCCCCTTAGATGCCTGACAAAAGTAGTGTTCCACTTTCACATGAATCTGCATTTCACCATCAGAACAGCTTTTCTCAGTCCTTCAGGCCCATTGTAAGGAGTCCTTGTGGCTCAGTGGTTAAGCATGTGGCTGCTAACCAAAAGGTTGATGGTTTGAATCCACCAGCTGCTCTGTGGAAGAAAGATGTTGCAGTCTACTTCTGTAAAGAGTTACAGCCTTGGAAACCTTATGAGGCAATTCTATTCTGTCCTGCAGGGTCACTATAAGTTGGAATCAATTGACCATAATGGGTTTGGCTTTGGGTTCATCCCCATTGCAGCCTCTTCTCTCTTCTCAGCCTCCCATCATTATAGTCACACCTCAATAATATACTCAACCACCTTACCCTTTTCTCCCCTCATGATACTCCCCCAATCTGGGTACAATCCAGTTCAACCTACTCTCTGCTTACACCTGCAGAGTTGAGCAGGGCTGGAGAAAGACACAGCCATGTTGACTTTTCTTTCTAAATTCACAGACACTGACCTAGATGATTGCTTAGGGGTACCTGCTAACCTGATTACGCCTCTCCTGCCCATTCCCATTCTCAAATCCTAGGTGACCAGTTCACATTTTCTCTCTCCTCAAACTCCAAAGCTCTTCCCCCAGCTCACTTAGTGAAGAAAATAGAAGCAGTCATGGGAAAACTTCAACAGGCTCTCACCGCCACACTTACTAAATGGGACAGAACCATTTACTCTGCCCGCCCTTTTGCTATTATGAGTGAATTACCCATACTTCTGTGTAAGGGCAACCCCTCCATGAATGATGTACTGTTCCCTCTTGTGCTCAAGGACACTACTCTGTTATCATCATTTCTCTCTACTGCGTCATACATTTTTTCTTCTCTAGTGGCATCTTTATCAGTTGGCATTTACTAATGTTCCTATAAAGTCCCATCTTGACCCTCCAGTTCCTTCAGCTACTATTCTATTTTTCTTTTCTCTTTTATAGAAAAACCCATTGAAAGAGCTGGGTATACTCTGATTCTAATTCACCACTTTCTCAAATCTACTCTAATCAGATTTTGTCCCCCTCAAGCCATAGAAACAACTCATACAAAGGTTATCAATGACATAATTTTCAGTCCTTATCCTTCTGGATGTAACAACTGAGTTTGACTCAGTTGATCACATCCTTCTTCTTGGACTCTTTTCCCCTTGGCTCTTAGAAGACCACCTCCTCCTAGTTTTCCTTCTATTGCTCTGGTCACTCCTTCTCTGGCTCTTTGCTGGTTTCTCATCATTTCCCTGACCTGTGAATGTTGGGCAAAGACTCCATCTGTAGACTTCTTTTAATTTCTCCATTCATTCTCTAGGTGTCTCATCCAATTATATGGATTGTAATACTGTTTATATACTGACAATTCTCAAATTTCTATCTCTAGCCAAAGTCTCTCCCTGAACTCTCTGATTCAGTAGAGAGAAATAATATATATTTCCACTTGTATATCTAATAAGCATCTCAAACTTAACAAAACTCAATTCCTGATTCCTCTGCCTTCTGCAGTCTTCACCACCTCAGTAAGTGATATCTCCATCCTTCCAATTGCTAAAGCCAAAACTTTGGAATTATCCTTAGCTGTTTACCCTCTGCATCTCATATCCAGTGCATCAGCAAATCTGTTGGCTTTACCATCACAGGACACAGAGAAGGTCACCGCTTCTTACAAGTTCTGCTGCAACCACCTTGGTCCAAGCTATCCCCATCTTTCATGTGAATTATTCAGTAAACTCTTAACTGATTCCAGTTTTTGCCCTGCCTTTTACAATCTATTCTAAGTCTACCAAACAAGTGATCCTTTAAAAATATAGTCAATTCACAGTACTTCTCTTCTCAAACCCTCTGTTGGCTCCCTATTTCATAAAAGCTGACAAAGTCTTTCCTGATCCTGGCAACTTATCTGACCTCATCTCTTGTTCTTCTGGCTACAAGGCTCTGCTGTACTGGTCTTCTTGCAGCTACCACAGGGCCTTTGGACTTGCTATTCTTTTCTTAGAACAGTTTTTCTCCAACTGTCTGAATGATCTGTTTCCTCATTTCTCTCAGGTTTCTGCTCTAATGTCACCCAATCCATGCATCTTTCCTCACTACCTTTTATAAAACAGCAGCCCTTCACCATATTCCTTCCTGGCCCTCTTCGTCTCATTCCCCCACAGTATATTATACTCATCTTTTCCCCTATAGAATATAAGCTCCATGAGGGCAAGGACTTTGATCTGCTCTTCCTTCTGCCTCTAGCAGTTGGTCCAGTCCTGGTATATGGTAGGTAGTTCATTCCTTTCATTTCCCAGATGGGGAAACAGGAGAGAGGAGTGAGCACATGAACAATGCTCAATAAATAGCTGCCTATCTAAAATGGTACCCTTCATCTTGGTCTCCCTTTCTGTTTGATTTGCCTTCATAATAGTGTGCTTTAGCAGCTGCTTCACTGTGCATTTACCCAATTGCTATGGTCCTAACTACCCAACAGAATGTCAGCTTCATGAGAGTGGGGCTTTGTGTTATTCCTTATGTATCTCGAGCATCTAGAACAGAGCCTGGCACATGGTAGGTGCACAACAAATGTTTATTGAATGGATGACAGTTACATAGGCCAGCTTAGATTGAAGACTGGCTGACTCCAGAGGGTGTCTTTGTTTCTGCCCCAATGGTTTCCAAATGCTGGTTTGCATACAATCCTGGGGGTTTTGTTCAATGTACCAAGACTTGCTGATCTGAATTGTTGAAAAAGTTATCCAGCAGAAAGGGACCCTCATTACAGAGTATTCTATATCACTTTGATTTTTGAGAAAGGGTTGGTTAAGCCCAGATAAAATACAAATGGTTGCTTTTGAGCTCCGTCCTTTTTTCCAGTGGACCGTCTATCTTCCCATTCACCCAGATATGTCCCCACCTTCCCCCAACATGTACACACATTTCTTTCTGTTTCCTCTCCTGAGACCTCCTTTTTACACTCTGGTTCAAGATTGTATTCATATCTCATTTCCCAAATTGGCCTTTTTATCTAAATTTAAAACATGCAGCAGGTTTTTTTTTTTTTGTTGTTGTTGTTGTTGTTCCTAGTAGTTCAAGCTTCTATACAATTCTGAACTCAAAGACAGGGAGAGAAGTTGAAGTCCTTTCTGGAACTGGGGTATAGAATTCCTCAGGAGTAAGGGACTCCTTTAATGCAGGCTGAGCTGTTTGGGAGGCAGCCACTCATGCTCTAGTCACATCTGCCTGGGTGGTCAGGACAGCCCAGTGAGGTGAGCTGGTAGCAATTGCAGCTGTTTTTCAAATGAAGATGCATGGGGCTTTTAGAGAGGTACACCAGTTTCCCAGGGCTAGTGTATGTCTCTGCTGGGCCATGAACCTCGTTCTCTTGAGAGATCAGTGTTGTTTTAAAGATGATATGGAAGTGGCCATCTGACCTCCTCCAACTTTACAAGGGGGGAGGATGATCAAGATCAACAGCCAAGGCTGATTCTTATGAGGTGGTGGTCAGACATGCCTCTACCCTCCAACCTTTTTTTTACCACTTCTGGCATCAACTGTCCCTCCCATGGTACTCTCTGCTTCTCTACTGAGTTTGATAATTCATTGCAGTGGCCACACAGAACTCCCAGACAATACTCACAATTATGAGGTTTATTAGGGAAGTAACAGGTTACAATTTATAATCAGAAATGACTCAAGATACAGTTCTTTGATCAAGACAGCTTCTTCTCAGCTGTGCTGTAGGCGTATCTCTGTCTGGCATTTGGGCTCCCGGCCCTGTGGCCCCTTGGCCTCTCCTTTGCTCAGGCAAATGTTAAAAAGATATTTCACTTCTGCTGGTAAGTGCTCAGAGGTACCTCAATCCTTCAGCGAGCCTCTTACCAGAAGACATTCAGCTTTCTTGCTCTGTGGGCCAGGAAGCCCACCACTATGTCTCATGCTGGTCTCTTGGTTCTGCTGCCACCATTTCTCTGTCACTGCTTTTTGCTGTCTCTTGCCATCTCCAGAGTCACAGCTCTCTGTCTCCTGGTTCAAGGAGGTTCAGCACAGGGATCTTGGGTCCAAAAGAAGAGCTCCATTCCTGGCTTTTCTTTCTTGGTGGTAGTGAGATCTCCCATTCTGCCTCTGGCATAGCTTATTTTAAGTTTAGCTAGGTGGCAAAACTGACCAATCCCCATGCCTCACATGGTTCTATACACCTTATTTTCCACCTACCCCCACCAAAGGGTGCCATGCACATTATTTACATTATTAGCAAGCTATCCAATCCCTTTGTTGGGCCACAAACTCCTTACATTTGCATAGTCCCACCTAGTCATTTGGTGGGAGTTACAAAGACAATGGCTAGAAGAACCATACCAAGTAATTTACCAAACTGCAGTTGGATAATGGAAACTGGCTTCACTGGGGTCTCAGCAAACATTTATCATGTGCTTCCTAAGGGCTAGTGTCCTGGAATTGCAGATTTATAGTTTGGGATGGTCAGACACCCCACTGTTTGCTGCCACTATGCTACTTTGGACAATTCAACTCTGCTTCCTGATTTCCTGTCTGTCATAGTAATCTAGTGCCACCATAGCAGAAATACCACAAGCTAGTGGCTTTAACAAACAGAAACTTATTTTCTCTCAGTTCAGACTAGAAGTCCAAATTTAGGGTGCTGGCCCTACAGCAAGGGCTGGCTTGTCTCTCTGTCGGCTCTAGGGAAAGTCCTTGTCTCTTTTCCTTGGCTCCTTAGAGATTTTTACGTGGCATGGCATCTCTCTTCCCACATCTCTGCTTGCTTGTTTAATCTGCTCTTTTATATCTCAAAAGAGATTTATTTAAGACACTCACTAACTTAATACTTCTACATTAACATAACAAAGAAAACCCATTCTGAAATTGGAATTATAACCACAGGTATTGTTGTTGTTATGTGCCATTGAGTCGGACTGACTCATAGCAACCCCTCCTTGGGTTTCCAAGGCAGTATCGCTACAGAGGTAGATTGCCCAACCTTCCTTCCAAGGAGTGGCTGGTGGGTTTGAACAGCCAGCCTTCTGGTTAGCAGTTAAGTGCCTTAGGTACTACGCTACCAGAGGGGTTAGGATTTAAAGACATATTTTTGGAGGACACAATTCAGTCCATAACACAACTGGAGAAAAAAGTGAATGAATATTGGCCTACTGTTTATTGTTTTTCTTTTGCTTAGTTTTAAAGCTTTATATGCTGTGACCCTAAATCTATGGCCAAATCCAGGGCTCCTGACTTGGCCTTCAGCAAGTCACATACCTCAATTTCACCTTCCTTTTCTGTAAAATGAGCTAACAATTCCAGCCTTAATTTAGTCCACAGGATAATTGGAAGAATTAGCATAAAAGTTGTTAAGAAGGTGATGTTAAGTATGAAATTTATATAAAAATAAACTCTTATGTAATTTTTTTGCCTTCAGAGTGTCCTTGAAAGGAAGGCAGGATAAGAATGATAGTAATGAACATTAACAGTCTTTTGTTTGTACTGGAGTCAGAGAACTGAAGGTTTTGATTTAAAATGGTAAATAATGAATCAGATTTCTTCCCTTAGGGTTTAAAGAAAACGTGTGTGATCATGGACCAGGAACGCCCACGTTCTGATCTTAGCATAAACAGCAGAAATGATCTTCGCAAGGTTTTGCATCTTGAATTTCTCTACAAGGAGAACAAGGTATGGGCTTTTGAGGTGTTGTGTGAAGTTTGGTGATGTCAGAACACTCATGGGTCCTGCCAACCCATCAGAGACATGTGGCAGAAGGCTTGGAAACTCTGGCTTGCCACAACAGACCATGCCAAGTTGACAAATCCCAAGCGTGAGAGCTGGTTTTCTAGCATTAGTGAATCTGATGCCGCTCCTTTCATATAGCGTATATGTATATCACATGTGTGCATGTGCGTGTGTATGTGCACACAGTTGTTAGCGTCATTTTAATCAGCACTGTTGACTGTGCTCAGCCATAGACAGTTATTCCCTGTGCTCCCTCCTTCCCCCATGAGGCTATTTTTAGTGAGACTGTACTTAAGAATATAGTATTCAGTTATACTAAAATTTTCCATTCCCTGCCTGTGTAACATTTTCCTTCTGCAGTTCTGAGTAATGCCTTATTCTCAAGTCTGCTGTGACATATAATTCAGGCAGAAAAGGGCCTTGGGCTCAACTCTCCCAGGTGTGTTGGAGTTGAGAGAGCAAATGGAATGGCACTTTCTGGGTGGGAGTTTCCATGATCCCCCAGACTCATTCCTTCACCTCCTGTTATAGGTTCTCACGCGCACCCTATAGTTTCTTTCATTGTGCTTGTCATATTTGTAATAAAAGGTTTGCATGATTGTTTAACTAGTGTCTATCTCCCCAAGTACCCTGGACATAGCAGGAGGACAGAGATGAATTTGTTTTGTTCATTATTGTATCTATATACTTAACATGTTGTCTGATGATACAGTAAATAGTCAATGTGTACTTGTAAAATAAATGAACAATGAATGCATATAGGAATGAATGAAGCTGTACCTCTGACTTAATTTCTCTTTCTGTTACAAAGACAGTATCCTCTAACTAGATTTAAGAATGAGCTTTCTAGTTTTGTGAGTTTTCTAGCCATTGTTGCCCTGTGGTTGAACATAGTATCTGAACTGCAAAGAATCTGATGATTATGCAGTTCATTATTGATCACAATGTTATTTTTTAAAAAGCAATCGAATGATATCTCAAACAAAGTCCAATATGCAAAACAAAGAAGGGCAGCCACCTTGTATAGTGAGGTAGGGAGGGAGAGGAGGTTTTGTCTTCTTGGCCTCCTGGGGAAGCCCCTCAGGGCCCAACCAAGTAGTTTTCAAACCACTCATCTAGTGGAAACCACACCCTAGGGAGCTGTGAGCCAGAGAAAAGTGGCTCATCTAAGATCCCACAGTCCTTTACTAGGAAAAGATGAGTCTAGATCTCAGGGCTTCCAATTCCCAATCTTATTGTAATAATGGTCATCAAACTTATTTTAATTGTAACCCTCTTCTCAAATAAAATCTTGGCAGATTTTGTTGACATCGGGGTGGAACACTCCAAGCCTTCCCAGGCTGTTTCTGAGGTATCTGGAGAATCCTCCGAACAGCTTGAAAACTACCCTAGTGTACATCACAGGACAGAGAGGAGTTAGGCCAGGTTTCTCCCCTTAAAGTAGAGGATGGAATTTCAGGCAAACCTATAAACCTCAACTAGCTGGCATCCAACCTATAAGATGCACTCTGGTTGCCAGAACTCTTTGTGTTCTCCTTTGAGAAAAAAAGGCCAATGGCAGTCAGGTGAAGTCACATCAGAGACTGAGTAAAGCCATCAAATAGGTGACCTACATCCTCTGGGTCCTGGAGTGACACTCAAGTACATCTCCTATTGGTACTCAGTGAAACCAATTGCTATTGAGTTTACTCTGACTCATGGTGACCCTATGTGTGTCAGAGTTTTTAATGGCTGGTATTTTGGCAGTAGATTTCCAGGTCTTTCTTCTGAGGCACCCCTGGGTAGCCTCCAATCTCCAACCTTTTGGTCAGCAGCCAAGCGTGTTAACCATTTGTACCATCCAGGAACTCCATGTTCAGCTGATGTCCAGTAGAAAGAAGACTGGTGACCCAGACAGCAGATGCTCAGTAATCCTCCATTTGTTATATCTTAGGACAGGGAGTGGACTGTCCATTTTAGAAAGATTATCAACAGAGAGTGAGATAGTTAACCAGAAAATTCAACTACTAATTCCGGTACCTTGGGATTTTTATCTAAATGTAACTTTACCTAATTTCTCGGAAGTGTCTTTGCCATTCCAGTTATTTTTATTTCCTCACCATAATATGTTCTCCCAGGAGCTCTGGTAGCAGAGTGCCTAAGGCATTTGACTGCTAACCAGAAGGCTGTCGGTTCAAATCCACCAGCCACTCCTGAGAAGGAAGGTTGGGCAATCTACTTCCGTAGTGATATCGTCTTGGAAACCCAAGGAGGGGTCTTTATGAGTCAGATCTGACTCAACGGCACATAACAGCAACAAAAACAAGGTAACTAATATCTTAAGGTATTTATGATAGTTCATTAGATTTTGATAAGTAGGTTAAGTGCCCTGATTATTTGATTTAATAGTTATTAGCTATTATGTAGGCCCTTGTTATGCTCCCGAGAGGGACCGGGTCTCTGGGAGCAAGGCAAGCACGGGCATAGCACAGAGTAGCAGGCCGGAAGAGCAGGAGAAAGGGGTAAAACCCAGGAAGCCAAAGAGAAGAACAATCAGCCAAAGGGATTAGGTGAGGAGGGGAAACTCAGGCCCGTCCAGAGTAGCAGGCCAGAAGAACAGGAGAAGGGGGAT